TAACTTATATTAATACATGACAGTCTATTTTTCCACTTTGAATTATTTGTAACTTATATTAATACATGACAGTCTATTTTTCCACTTTGAATTATTTGTAACTTATATTAATACACGACAGTCTATTTTTCCACTTTGAAATATTTGTAACTTATATTAATACATGACAGTCTATTTTTCCACTTTGAATTATTTGTAACTTATATTAATACATGAGTCTATTTTTCCACTTTGAATTATTTGTAACTTATATTAATACACGACAGTCTATTTTTCCACTTTGAATTATTTGTAACTTATATTAATACACGACAGTATTATAACTGATTAGAAAATGTGCCTCACTGGTCACTCTACAGCTAATGGATTACATTATAATTGATTAGAAAATGTGCCTCACTGGTCACTCTACAGCTACTGGATTACATTATGGTTGATTAGAAAATGCATCTCACTGGTCACTCTACAGCTAATGGATTACATTATAGTTGATTATAAAATGTATCTCACTGGTCACTCTACAGCTAATGGATTACTGCAGTTGATTAGGAAATGTATCTCACTGGTAATTCTACAGCTAATGGATTACATTATAACTGATTAGAAAATGTATCTCACTGGTCACTACAATTAATGGATTACATTATAGTTGATTATAAAATGTATCTCACTGGTAATTCTACAGCTAATGGATTACATTATAACTGATTAGAAAATGTATCTCACTGGTCACTACAATTAATGGATTACTGCAGTTGATTAGGAAATGTATCTCACTGGTAATTCTACAGCTAATAGATTACCTCACTGTTGGAACTGAAAATGGATCAAATTTGTCAACTTTTCGAATGTCAATGGGAACACAGATTCTTCCAGTTTTGGGATGAACACAGAAAGGTGCTTTAAGAAGATGGTTCAGACCTTTAGTTACGTTGATATCGAGGCGAGGATAACAAAGCTGCAACATTATCTCTGTCACGAGGTTGGCACATTTCCTGGTTTCTCCCTGTCATACCAGTGACATGAAAATATATAAACGTTTTTTTTATATATATAGATTAAGACACAGAACAATAATTAGTTGGTAAGTAATTATATAATTGGTTTACTCATCTATCTATCTATAATTAATGAAAGTGATACATCTGTTAAACCATAATTACATATCATTGTAAAACAAGGATATTTTAACCACATTTGTTTGGGTCATCAACAGGCAGAATGAAATTAGATAAGAGTATATATATATATATATATATGTTTATCTATACAAAAAGGGGCTAGCTTTTAGTAAAATATACATGTCTGTTGTACACAAAAAATCAGACGTGTTACAAAAGCATTTATATTCAAGATATGTCTTGTGTGTTTGTTTGAAGTTAAGCACAAAGTTGCACAATGAGCTATCTGTGCTCTGTCCACCACGGGTATCGAAACCCGGTTTCTAGCATTCTAAGTCCGCAAGATAAGTGTGAATTGAAAATGTCAGCCTGACAAGTTGGAGTGCAACATGACATTCATGTGAAAAACAAAAATACTCTTGTCCATTGTACAGTTTGCATAACTTCTAGAATCTCTGAAATGCATATTAAGTTTTTTTCAGTATCTCATTGTATTGCTTCTGGTATTTACTTTCCTCTGCCACAAACTGTCACTAAATCAGCAGTGTTGGGCTACATGAATAGCTGACAACTGTAACACCAAATACATGTAACAGATTGTGTACTTCAACCTCCATTACGTACAAAGTTTGACGTAGTATGAAGAACTTTTATAAATGTATATTTTTTCTCCACTCTGATGAATATAAAGTAAAAATTACAAGCTTTAACTAGGCTGTAGATCTTCTCATAACCTCATGCTATAGATGTTTTGAAAGTAAAATGGTTTTAAAAAAGTATATCACAGATCAGATCAATGTAAAATTGTACATATATATTACGACAATTCTGTCAATTAAGAAAATCTGGCTCACTATGCATACTTTTTTTTCCACACAATTTCAGTTGGACGTAAAAAAAAAAAGAGTTCTTACTCTTCACACAATACAGTCACTGTCAGTTGGAATTCTTTGCTTTATCTGCCAATTTTCTTGACAATTTGAATACAGTTAGCAAGTATTGACAAAACCAGCAGTAGAATAGTCAGAACTATGAACAGAACATCTAAGTTGGAGTGTGTTTGCCACTTGTGTAACAGTTTTTTGAAGAGAACATCT